ACATGTGAGAGTTTCCTTCCTTTATAAAACTGAATAATATTCCATTGTATGGATATACCACATTTTTTTATCTACTCAATCATCAGCCAATGGACCTTTGGGTTGTTTCTGCCTTTTGGCTCTTGTGAATAATGCTGCTATGAACGTCCATGTACAAATCTCTACTCAAGTTCCTACTTGCAATTTTTTGGGGTACAAAGAGTAACTAGATGATGGAGTAATTGTTTTTAACTTTTTGAGGAACTGCCATGCTCTTTTCCACAGTGGCTGCTCCAGTTTACATTCCCACCACAATCTTTTAAGAAGATTTATTTATTTATTCATGAGAGACCCAGACTGAGAGAGACGGGTAGAGACACAGGCAGAGGGAGAAGCAGGCTCCTTGCAGGGATCCGGATGAGAGACTCAATCCCAGATCCCAGGATCACAACCTGAGCCAAAGGCAGACACCCAACGGCTGAGCCACCTAGGTGTCCCCTCATTGCGGTTTTGATTTGCATTTTCCTGATGACTACTTTCATTAAATGCCTTTTCATTTGCATTTTTGTGTTGAGCATCTTTCTATGTGCTTATTGGCCATTGTATATCTTCTTTGGAGAAATGTCTATTCAAGTCTAAAGGGAACCATTTTGAATGATTTTAACCATTTATGCTTTGCCTTCTGTAATTTGCCTCTAAATGCTATATGTATTTGGCCATTTCCTGATTTTGTTTGATAGGGGAGGATTTGCATTGCCATGTCTCTTCCCCAAGACCTCCTAATACAACTTTATTGTTATTTTCATACATAGACTGATTGCCTGTGCAACTTTAAATAACATATTCCTTTATTTCATGTTCCATCACTGATAAATAGGATCTCTTGATGACTCAGATTAAGGTAAGGGTATCTTCCTGCCCCCTCCATCTCCTACTTTTCCTTCTCAGCTTCTACCACATGTGACTTCCCAGGTATGTAGCATTTACCTTCTCTTCCCTATCTGCGATGAACTCTTCTGAACTTTACTTATAGGTTGATACTAAGAATTTTTTTAAAGTCAATAAATGGGGAGTGCCTTGGTGGCTCAGTTAGTTAAGTGACTCAGTTGACCAATTTTGGTTTCAGCTCAGGTCATGATCTCAGGGTCATGAGATCAAGCCCCAGTTGGGCTCTGCGCTCAGCACGGAGTCCACTTGAGATTCTTACTCCCTCTCCCTGCCCTCCTGCTTGTGCTCGCTCTCTCTCTCTCTCTCAAATAAATAAATAAATAAATAAATAAATAAATAAATAAATCTTTTTTAAAAAAATCAATAAATGGCATTTACATTTTGAGTGCATTTTTGAAGCACGGAAGGGGAGGATACGGCAAAGGGGAGAGACTAAGGATTTTCTTGGAGTTGCCAGTGGCCTGAGCAGAATCAGAGGCACCATAAACCATGCAAATCAGGTGCTGGGTTTGGGCAGAAAGCCCCTTGGGCAGCTGTGCAGAACTGAGTTGGCTGAAGGTAAAGGGAGGAAAGTTATAGGGACCAGTTGGCAATATGCCCTGCCCACCACTCCCTCAAAGTGACCCAAGAATTCAGGTCAATAGACTCAGGAACCCCCATATTACATATCGTCACTTTGTTTCCTCCCAGATGTTCTTCCCTTTCACAGAAGGGTTTCATCTCTCAAGGATTTGTAGAGATAAAAAATAATTCTTCCTCCTAAAAAAGATTTGCAACACTGAACACAGAGGAAAGTCTCAGAGTGTAGACACAAGAGGAAGGAGAAGATGGAGAGAGAAGCTAACAATCACCGAAAAAGGGTCGAGTACTAGTTTTGTGTCACCATACCCAATCCTTACCCCACCCCTCTGCATGAGGCTGGTATATAGTCCCCATTTTATTTTATTTATTTATTTATTTGAGAGAGAAAGAGAGAGCATGCATGAGCAGGGGCAGAGGGAGAGAGAGAAGCAGATTACCTACTGAACAGGGTGCCTGATGTGGGGCTTGACATAGGGCTCGATCCCTGGACTCTGAGATCATTACCTGAGCTGAAGGCAGACGACGCTTAACCGACTGAGCCACCCAGACATCCCCTATTGTTCCTATTTTAAAGATGATGATGGAGGCTGGAGAGGCCCCGTGATTTGCCCAAAGCTACCAAGTGAGTATGGCTTGAGTCTTGGCCTGTGTTCATTGTGTTCACCTTGACCTTGGGCAAGTAGCTAAACCTCCCTGGGTCTCAGTTTCCTTTTTCTTTTTTTTTTTAATTTTTATTTATTTATGATAGTCACACACACAGAGAGAGAGAGAGAGAGAGAGAGAGAGAGGCAGAGACATAGGCAGAGGGAGAAGCAGGCTCCATGCACCGGGAGCCCGATGTGGGATTCGATCCGGGGTCTCCAGGATCACGCCGTAGGCCAAAGGCAGGCGCTAAACCGCTGCGCCACCCAGGGATCCCTCAGTTTCCTCTTTCTTTCTTTCTTTCTTTCTTTCTTTCTTTCTTTCTTTCTTTCTTTCTTTCTTCTTTTTTATTTAATTTTTAAGTCATCTCTATACCCAATTTGGGGCTTGAACTCACAACCCCAAGATCAAGAGTTGCATGTTCCACCATGGACTGAGCCAGCTGGCGCCCCTCAATTTCTTCATCTATAAGAACAGTGACACATTCCAAGACATGCCTGTTCCTTGCAAGGTGATGGTGAAAGCCAGAGATAATGGCTTTGAAGAGTCTGCCTTGTGGAAGATATCCTGAAACTGGCAGCTGTTATTCTCTGGCTCTTCCATCTGAGAATTCAGGGAAACCTAAGTATGGAGAGCTGAGGCTGGAGCCAAGTTCAAAGAGGAATTCATCCTTCTCTTCTCCCACCCCACCCCCACCCCGGACTGACCCTCAAACTAGCAAGGAAACTAGAAGTGCCTGGGAAAGCCATATCCACCCACCACTTCACAAGCCCAGGGCCACCCAGCAAGGTACTGGCAGAGCTGATCCCCTGGACCAGGGATGTGTCCCAGGGCATTCCATTCCTAGGCCAGGCTTTCAGAGTCAGTGAGTGAATCTCATTAGGAAGGTGTGCCCTTGCAAGCTCAGCTCCTCATAATTTCTCTGCTCCCATATCTTCCTTCCTCCCCCACACAACCTGAAGTGTGAATACCATCCCCAGGAGCCTGGGATTCAGGGAGATCTGAGGTCACTCTCAGGATCTAAGGAGGAACAGCATAGTTCCCTTCTCAGGACCTCAGTTGAGAGAAAGCCAGACATTAGGACAGATCTTCTAGGGCCAGGCTCTGCCCCTAACCAACCTTTCTGCTTGGCCCAGATTTTCATTGCTGCCCCTGGGACAGGAACGGGGAAATCTCTTTTTTTTAATAATAAATTTATTTTTTATTGGTGTTCAATTTGCCAACATACAGAATAACACCCAGTGCTCATCCCGTCAAGTGCCCCCCTCAGTGCCCGTCACCCATTCACCCCCGCTCCCCGCCCTCCTCCCCTTCCACCACCCCTAGTTCGTTTCCCAGAGTTAGGAGTCTCTCATGTTCTGTCTCCCTTTCTGATATTTCCCACTCATTTTTTCTCCTTTCCCCTTTATTCCCTTTTACTATTTTTTATATTCCCCAAATGAATGAGACCATATAATGTTTGTCCTTCTCTGATTGACTTACTTCACTCAGCATAATACCCTCCAGTTCCAACCACGTAGAAGCAAATGGTGGGTATTTGTCGTTTCTAATGGCTGAGTAATATTCCATTGTATACATAAACCACATCTTCTTTATCCATTCATCTTTTGATGGACACCGAGGCTCCTTCCACAGTTTGGCTATTGTGGACATTGCTGCTATAAACATTGGGGTGCAGGTGTCCCGGCGTTTCATTGCATCTGTATCTTTGGGGTAAATCCCCAACAGTGCAATTGCTGGGTCGTAGGGCAGGTCTATTTTTAACTCTTTGAGGAACCTCCACAGTTTTCCAGAGTGGCTGCACCATTTCACATTCCCACCAACAGTGTAAGAGGCTTCCCTTTTCTCCACATCCTCTCCAACATTTGTGGTTTCTTGCCTTATTGATTTTCCCCATTCTCACTGGTGTGAGGTGGTATCTCATTGTGGTTTTGATTTGTATTTGGAAAGGGGAATTCTCTTGGCTAAGGCCTTCCTCCCATTGCTCTCCTCCTTCTCCTTTGGAGGAAATGGCAAGAGCGTGTGAAACTGACAGGTGTGCCACTCTCTGGTGCCCAGTGCCACCTTTCCTAGTCAGGACCAGAGCTGGAACAGGCACGGTGGATTGAGCTGCTGTACAGCTGCTTTGTATTCATGCCTCCGGCAGGGCATAGAATTGTGTCCTAGGCTGGAAATAGCTCTGGCAGGTGGGGGATGAGAAGCACAGGTTCCAGTACCTGATGCCACCTTACACAATGCACTGCAATGGGTCAAGGCAGAGGCCCAGGGTGGGAGGCTGCCCGTGGGAGACGGGGGTACGGACTAGCATCCCTTTAGCTGACTCCTGGCCCCGAGGGGGCTCGCCCACCGCACTCTTGTCCTGGCCACCTCCCCAGCCACCGCGGGTCCTCTGCTCCATCTGGCACGCCTGGAGGACACTTTGTGCCGGCTCCCTTGGCTCCGGCTCGCAACCTGGGGAGGTAGGGAAAGCAGTCCATGACCCGCGCGCTAAACTGGCCTTGGGGGTTGGACGCGTCCAAGCTTCGCCTCCGGCCTGCAACCCCCCCTCTACGAAATCAACAAACTCTTGGCGCCCTCAAACCTAGGCCCCTAGTGGTCGGGACGCGAGCCTGTCCTTGGACTGTGGCCGGGGCCTTCAGATCCGTAGGGAAACCCCCTGCACGTCTTGTGGGTGGGAGGGGAGGGCCGCGGGTACGGAGGGAAGGTGGCCCCGCGCGCGTAGCCGCTTCCTCCACGCCTCGCCCCGCCCCGCTCTGCCGGACAGAGTCCTCCGCACCCCATAGGCAGAGGCAACCCTCCCCGCCTCCCCGCCTGCTCGGCTCGCCCCGCCTCGGCTCACTTTAAAAGTTTCCTCGGGCCGGGACGCGCGTAGAGAGCCCTGGCCATCTACGTCGGGATGCTGTGCCTCGGGAGGCTGTGTGCCGGGACCCCAGGGGTGCTGGGGGCCCGCACCGTCCTGGCCCGGGGTTGGCAGGAAGCGAGATTGCAGGGCGTCCGCCCCTTCAGGTAGGCTGCCCGGGGAAGAGGCGAACGACCCAGACCTACCCACGTCTCCAGGGGAGTCTGGGGGAGGGAGGGGTCCTGCAGAGCTTGCCTAGGGGCCGATCCTACTCTGGCTGGCAGGCCGGAGGCTGCCGCACCTCTGGATAGCACGCGCTGGGGAGCAGATACTCCGCACCCAGCGCCTAGGCAACAGGAAATACTGGCCTGGCTCGTGCAGACTGGGGCTGCAGCTGGTGGCTGGCAGTGACCCTGCACTGACTCTGCGTTCAGATCCAGGACTCCTAGTCCTTGCCATTCATGAGCACACAGAGGACCGGGAATGTAGGCCTTTGGCGGTCTAGCCCAAGAAAGAGGGCAGGGGTAAGACTTTAGCTTCAGAACACTGTCTCTGAGCTGGACTCCCTTCAGGGATGCACTCACGTATCTTCGGCCTGTCTTGCAAGGCCGCTAAACGTAGCGGTCTCCCCTCTCCTCATTACATGCTGACGAACTCTTGCTTTCGAACCTTGGTACCTGCTGGGTCTATTTTCTTCTGTCCTCAGTGCAAAAAGTGGGATGGGGCCTGGCAGGTGCCCTTTCCCAGTAACTTTGCTGGCTCCTAGCAGTGCCAAGATTGCAAATGTGAATATGTGCTAGTTGCTTAAACAGCTGGGCTCCCACTGATGTTATCTGTGATGGTTATCTTCAGCAGTCAGAGGGGGTAAGTCTGGGCACCACTGAACGTGCCCTGCCACCCAGATGGGCCAGGAATTAAGTGGGGAGGAGAACAAAGGGGCTTCTCCTCTGGAGAGAACTGTTTAGTTAACAAAAATAGGATGGGGTGGGGGGTGGAATTGGAGGAAACTGCAAATTCCTCTTTTGGCTAAACTCCAAGATCACAACGTTTTGCAGTGTTTTGAACTTGCTAGTTCCCAAAAACTAGAATGCATGCAATGCTTTAAGATGGCTATGCCTGGTTTTCTGAGAAAACCTGGTGGTGGCTCAAGGCTGATCAGTAGATGGGACTGTGCCTCCCTAGGCAAGTTCTGCAGTGGCTAACCTGGGCCTCCAAGCCCCACCTCTAGACTCCTCAGTGAGGGCCCTATTACAATGTGAGGACCCTTAGGAAAGTTACTCCTTTTTTTTTTTTTTTTTTTTTAGATTTTATTTATTTACTTGACACAGAGAGATTGAGAGAGCACAGGCAGGGGGAACAGCAGAGAGAGGGGGAGAAGCAGATTCCCCACTGAGCAAGGAGCCCAAAGACACGGGGCTTGATCCCAGGACCCGGAAATCATGACCTGAGCCGAAGGCTGTTGCTTAACCAACTGTGCCACCCAGGCGCCCCAGCGAAGTTACTCCTAAAAGCATCCATGTTTCATGATGCTAAATCAGGCCACTTCTGATCACATAGTAACATTCCTGACCTTTGACATCTTTGTGTGTAAACAGCAGGACCCGGTATAGGCCTACATACAATCTCAGGTTATGGGCACCAGGTCTCAGAGAAATTCTGCCTCTGTAACCAGAAGGAGATCTATCTATCCAAAGAGAAGATTTCCTGAGCATTTGGCCTAATTCCTTCCCCATCCTTTCATTCCCTTGTGCTTGAACCCTTTTCTATTTGGCCTGATTTCACTCCTTTCCCCTTCAGAAACCCTCAAGAGTCTTAAGCATTCAACAGACATTCCTGAGCACCTATGTCATGTCAATTACCTGGTGGGTGCTATGGATATAGAAGCTGAAGAACCCAGTCTTCCAGAGACTTGAAGTCCCAGTGGGGGAAAAGAGAAGTCACATGATCACTACTCCTGTTCCAAGCGTAATGATATGGAAAGCTCTTGGACTTCTATTTTCTGCTTCTTCTGATCTAGTTACACATAAAGCCTGCTTCTCTGCCCTGTAGTGCCTCCCCTACCCCCCTGCAGGCCTATTACATATTAGATCCCTAGTTTTGCCTGTTAGGAAAGAATAAGAACTTTGAAGCCAGACTACTTTGGGGTAATTTATAGCCTTGGATTCTCCACCTACTGACCTTGTGACCTGGAGGGCATTACCTAACTCCTGAACCTGGTGAGTTTGTCATTAATGCTACCTACTTGCTGGATTGACAGTCTTGGCTCTGTTCAGCCTTTCCTTTGGGGTCGGTCTGGTCCCTGAGACCTTCAAATGGTGTGTGGGTAGGAATTCCAACTGATTTAAAAGTAGAAGAGGAGTGCCTGGGTGGCTCGGTCAGTTAAGCATATGACTCTTTATTTCAGTTCAGGTCATGATCTCTGGGTCCTGGGAGGGAGCCCCACACCACAAGCCTCCACTTTGGGCTTCATGCTAAGCAAGGAGTCTGCTTGAGGATTCTCTGCCTGTCTCCCTGCTCAGGTATATGTGTGCATGTGCATGCGTGTGAGCTCTCTATCTCTCAAATAAGTAAACAAACAAACAAATAAAAAGGAGAGACTCCTTGTCAGTGGTTTCCTTCTTGTTCCCGGTTCTTCCTTTTATCCAGTTGCCAAGATGGTAGCCTCTGCCCAGCCCCAAGTCCAGATCTGGGATCTGCCAGACATTTCCCTCTCCATCAAAGTTGGGGTTATTTAAAGCCTTTTTCCCCAGAAGGAAAGAAGAGGCTCTCTTATTGTTCACCAGATCTCCTGAACCACCAGCTCCTTCCCCTTGTCAACACATCCCCTTCCCCAAGGAAGATGGATGGGCTAGTCTGGGGCTTCAGGGAGCCTTGGACGGAAGATTCCTTGATGAACTTGAAGTGAGCCAGATTCCTCCAGACCACTGAAGCTGGCCTGGGGCTGCCTCACAGTTGCATCTTGGGTGTTGGGACCACTCAGAGCAGAGAAGGACAGAACATTGGCTTAAGCCTTCAGAATTAGGAATGATATTCAGAACTGGAGCTCCAGTGACTCCATGCTGATAGTAGGGCAAAGGGGTAATTGAACTTCATGGACAACCCTCTAGGTGAATGGCTATAATTAGGTGGGACGAGTATCAGAAACTATAAAATATTGTCCCTATATGAGGGGATTGCATTAAGCCAAGAAGTGTTTTTGTTGGAAACCATAGTAATTAGAAAAAATAGACTCTTCCAATAATTCCCCAAAGATGATTAACAAGCCATCTGGTAATAATATCCCTACACACATTACACTGGGGATCCTCCAGTCTAAATGTAACAATGGAAAATAAACTACAAACTTGGATATTGTAACCAGTGAATGGTAAGCATCAGTTTTGGTTACCCTTTCTGCTTGCTGACTTCATGCAATAGATGTGCGGTCTCCTTTGGAGGCTAGAGAGGGAGTGTAAAAATGAATGGCCTTGTTTTTACTGAGTTCTTTGCCTAAAACAGATCCACAGAGGAAGATTATAGACTCTCTCATACAAGGCAGAAAAGGTGCTGCAGTCCCTTGGAGGATGGCAATCAAAGCAGGGAAGAATCTAATTAGTGGGAATGGGACTGGGAAAGACTTTCTGATGAGGCTGGAGTTTGAAACTGATCCTATGAAGCCCATATCCTTGCATAAAACTGCCTGTACTTGAACTCTTATGAATCCTGGGTATCAAGCCCTCCCAGCCTCCCCCACATTTAATTTATTTGATCAATAGGCCGAAACTTTGAAGCCAAGCAGATTGGGTTCAAGTGAACCATTTTAGCTGGTAGCTTTGGGGATAAATTGAACCTGGCCTTAATCCTATTTTTGAGAGTTTAATAAGGTGATGTTAAGAAAGTTTTTAACTCGGGCAGTCCCAGTGGCTTAGTGGTTTAGCACCGCCTTCAGCCCAGGGCCTGATCCTTGAGGCCTGGGATCAAGTCCTGTGTAGGGCTCCCTGCATGGAGCCTGCTTCTCCCTCTCCCTCTGCCTGTGTCTCTGCCTCTCTCTCTCTCTCTCTCTCTCTCTCTCTTTCTCTGTGCCTCTCATGAATAAATAAATAAAAATCTTTAAAAAAAAACTTAAAAAAAGAAAAAGAAAATTTTTAATTCAACAGCCTGATACTAAAGAGATCTTCAACTCATTGCAGTGATGAGCTATTATTATACAGGTAGTGCTTGGTAACAATGGGTTTGTGCATTCCTGCAATGACTTTAAGGTCCACAGTTTAGTAACTTTGTATGGAGAGTAGGTGGGAGACAGTTCTGGCAGGGCAATTGCCTATACCTAGCTGGGCTGCTCCAGGTATGTAACATGCCTGTGCTCACAATTTTTGTTTGTTTGTTTGTTTGTTTATCATATGTTGAGCAAACCAAGGTACAGGGCATGATTTCATCTCTTGAATAGGCCTTGCTAGGGGAGTGTCCTTATACATGACAGGTACCCCATAATTCTGCCCAATAAGATTTCTTGCTTCAGACATAAGCAAGCTGTGTTTCTAGCTTACAAATCCTGTCTTGTGAAACCTTGTTGGTGTGTATGTGTTTCTCACTGTGGGAATCAGATGACAAGAGAGTGAATCCCAGCCCTACCACTTCCCATTCATAAGGCTTCAGGCAAGTCACTCAATCTCTCTGCCCCTTGGCTTGTTTGCAAAATAGGCCACTTGGATAAGAAGCACTCTCCATTTCTGCAGACATTCTGTGATTCCTAAGGAGGCTGGGCTTTGAGCCTGATCTCCTAATTCAAGAGTGCTGTGATTGAAGTATGAAGCCTTCAGACTCACAGGAAGTCTCACTTGTGCTAGTACCATTACAAACTCCTCCAAACCGCCTGACACCTTGTAATTCTCTCTCATCCTCCAAGTGAACAGAAACATTGAGGGTTTTGTCTCTAGAAAGCTAAGGTCATAAGCTAACCTCATAGGTAACTTTGTGATCCCGTCAAGGAGCAAATGTTCTGAATCAGCTCATACAAGCTATTTTCTTGAACAATAGCTGTATGTTGTCACTGGTATAAATGTATCAACTATCTAGGCAGGTACATAAAAATTTCAACTTTATTTCGGGACAAAACAGCTGTTACAGGTTCAAAGTTTTCCCCTCCTACCCTAGCATTGGCCGTCTCTACTCTCAAATATCAAGTGTC